CTCTAATATCTCAGACAGACCAAATATCTCAATATGCGGATTGCGCATACTGAGCAAATATCTCAAAAATCTCAAACAGACCAAATATCTCAATACGCGGATTAGGCGTACTGACCAAATATCTCAATACGGGGGTGTCCCATACTGAGTGTATATCTCAAATATGTTACTACGCGTGTGCGGTGGATTATATGAGAAGGTCGTCGTTCTCATGTATAGATGTTAAGATGAAAAATGTTTACGCGGCGTTAGAGTATTAGAGGACATCTCAACAAATAAAGTTTATAGAAAAGTTTCTTTTCTTAAAAGAGACATTGTGGAGAGTATTTATCCTCAATTCACTCATGCTGTAAGTAAGTTGGTTTTCGCTTCTTATATTTAAAAACGCTTATCTCACTATGACAGAAGCGTATGATCTGTACACTACAAGGAGAAAGGCACACATTTCAATATTCGACATGGCATAAGTTTTACAGTTTACTACCTGAAGATCCTTGTTTTTAGCGGTTCTCTTATGACATCAGAAGCAACAAATGTTTCTGAAAATGCTCCAGTAACCACAGAAGTGTAGCAACAAACTGAAGAGATAATTTCTATTAATTCGTTTGCTTCATTCTCTTCTCGGCATCATCATATACGTAAAAATTATCCGACGGATTGAGTCGCCTATCATTTGCCGACGCTGAATATTGACTTTTTGTTACTACACTTGTATGACATTCACCCAAAAGGTAAAAGTCAACAATAACTTTGAGAAATCCATCGCAAAGGTTGACAGATAATCTTGGCTTAGAAATATGAATAATCGGTCCATGGACAGTCAGTGATTGATTTGGATAGTGATTTAAAATTTTATTGACAGCTTCATCAGAATCGCTTGTGACAAAAATGATGAAGTTATTATTTTTCAACATTGTCGAATTGTCAATAAAATCTATCATATCTTCGACAACCGATGTACGCTGTACGACAGAATTGTTTTTACGTAAGTGATACAACGGATGTTTCATCTTCGAATGGATTTGAAGGATTTCTGCCCATTCGTATTTGCACGCATAACATTTTCGAGGATCTTATTGACATTAGTACCGAGTCAACTTTCTTAACAACATTTAGTTTTGGTTTAAACAATATTTCATAAAAGAATAGCGGCAAATTATCCATAGTTAAGTTTGATTGGTTCATCATATCAAGGAACGTTTTAACTACAGGATTGTCTTTCATCACAACATTCCCTAGTGCCAAATAGATGTAATTCATGTTTGAGGACAATATAATGTCATCGTAGCTTGACCATGATTCCGTACAGTTTTTCTTACTAATATTGTACGTGAATTCAGTGGACAGATTATCAGGTTGGTGATACATTGTACTAAGAACTAAACGTGAACGGTTCTTAACTCGTACAGTGACATTTTCAGACATTCACAAAGTACGTCCAAAAGGTTGATAGAAGATAGTATGTTGACTTCAAGTGGATTTTCATTATTGAATCCAGACATTTTTGCTTGTCAGCGATTGGTGGCACAACATTGAAGTGCTCAAGTCTACACCCTCATTTCTAACTGTCTTACAAAACCATGGAGAAGTGCCTTATAGATCGAGAATATAACAGAGCTTGCTCTCATAAAGTAAAGGACAACTTGAACATCAGTTATAGATCGAGTTTTATAGGCAACCAGATTTCCATTTCTCCTTGCACCGACCCCACTAAAATCATGTCCCATCGAGCTGAAAATTTCATCCAGTACGCTACACCTTCGAAAAGTGATAAATCAAACAACGTCCGTGCGTACTGGCATGCAGTTTACACGGAAAATGTTTTAGTTAGATCAGACAAAATCTTTGGGTGTCGCTACGTTGGAAATGAAGAATTTCCGTTTTTTTCTAGCTACATTTATTCTTCTTTGTTCGGAAAACTAGTAGTGAATGACTGAATGAGCTTTACAGTGAAGAGCTTTTTTATGGTCTGCTCGAGTTAAGTTTGTAAATACCTGAATAAGTGTTTGTTATAAAAGAAAAGTGAACATAACTTAATATCATATACTGTACAAACACGGGTGTATATACCACCCTATATTACATCATCGAATGTTCTGGAATATCGCGTCGTCATGTTGGAAAATTCCAGAACACCACATCATCTTATAATATTTTGGAATATTCCAGAATGTTGTAGTAACTTCTTAAGTCTAATGACCTAACACGTTTACATGTACTCACGAAGCCTTCAGTATTTTTTCTGTTTTCACGCGCGCACATTCTACTAGGTATTTCATCATCGGTTAGCAACGAGATAAGAATTTTTTCTTTCTTAAGTCGTCCTAATTATAAGTCCTCAAAAATGCATCGTGATTACTTACGAAAGGGAAAATTTTGTATCTTCCATCAGCGAAGAGCGAACGAGCTCAAACTTTTGTCATATATATGCAAGGAGGACATAAGTCCACACTCGGAATGTTAGCTCGATCGAAGCTTCCATCACGGAGCAATCGGCTACGTTGGGCGCCAATTTAATCAAAATGTTTTGGAATTCTTATATTTCGAACAGTCGATGAGCAATAAAGCTCAAGCTTTCAGATCATTATGGCCACTATGATTACTAGCAGCAATGAAAACATGAGCTGAATCGGATTTCTTTTGGCCAAAAAATCAAAGATTCGCCGACAAAATTGAGTTTTTTGAAAAAAACTTGAAAATTCTCTGATTCTACTCCAAAACACCATGGGTCCAAACTAACCTGGGCTTTTTCCCTGCTCATTACGGCTTACTTGATGAAAAGAGTCTGAGTACTCCAAAAGCGATTTATCATCTCGGAAGATTCCGTCGTAAGGGAGTTATCACACTTGGTAGAGAACACTTTACTCTAGATTCCGGTATATTTCTTTTCAAATTCGAGATTCCTATGTTAAATGAGTACCCTTAAGAGACGGTGTTGCAGGCTACGCCTTCCACATTCAATATGAGGTAATCATCTTCTTACCTTTTGATTATACATTCGTTCTCGTTTCTCAATCATACCGCTTCATCACACCACTTTTATGGTACTACCTCATCACATCACATACTTCAACATTCTTCTCTCTTTTCTGTTATTATTATATATATATTTATTAAAAGGGAGGACGATTACTTTTTACCAAAGTATTTTGGTGGCGTTCGGCGTATATATTCTCAGCTTAGTTGAGAGAGAAATTACAGAAAGGCAGTCTCGAAGACTGTGCGCGTGGTAAGAGCTAATTCAGGGACTTGGGTCGTTCTGTAACTGAAAAGCGATTGTAAAACAAATTTACATATTTTTTACAAGTTATTCTCGTATCCGTTTGCGCAAATTTCATTTTAAATAGCTTTTGAGTATTGCATTTTTTCCACACAATTGAGAAGGAAGAAACAGAAATGATGGAGAAATTTGCTTATATTATTGTTTCATACGGCCTTTTTTTTTGTCTGAGAGTTTTTCCGATCAAAATAACATTTCGTAGAACTGTGACAAGCAAACAAAATGGCAAGTCTCTGCTGCTCTTCGTATCATAATTCAGATATTTAATTACTGCATTGTGTTATAATATCATAGCTCAAAACCTCGTTCTTTTCATGTGCAACGAGGAAAAAGATTGTTTGTTGTAAGATATGAAAAATTAAGTTAAGCTTGACTAAGGACTCAGCAATTGGAAAAACGAGCGATTCGGCTTTCGTCTGCTTTGGTTAGTACTTATGAGAAAAGACAGTGATTTAGTCTTAAGTCATTATAAAAATATAAAGATGATCAGGACCGATAGATATAGAATTACGGGCAATTTTTACTATAGAGCATAGGTGTAAATATAGGATCTCACCAAAAGATATCTGTAAATGGAAAACAATCTTTTAAATCTGAAAAAATAAATTATGTTATGAAGACATAAAGCTCGAAAATCCACTGATTTTGGTTCCCGCAAATGGTCCTTAACTCTAAAATGAAGTAGCTTCTAAATCTTGGCGCTACGGCACACTGTGTTTATACTGAGTGTCATCTGATTATCGTTTTTTTTGTTCGAAGTTACAAGAAGGTACTTTGTCTAGAAGAAGAAAAATATTCATTTGGTCATACCTGAGAATTTGAAATGGAATGGACGAGGTTGATATTATTGCGCAAGTTCGCTCTCTTTAGTCTTATTGCAGTTTTTATGCTTATTGTGCTTATGACTAGGTACGCTCATAAAAATAGTTTTCTACCAGTACACTTGCCGATTATATTCACATATTCTGAACGAGCGTCGTCATCGGCGTTAGACGGACAGTTTTCTGTTAGTCGAACAACAGACAATATCGGACCTCGTTCTACATTATGTAATCATAAGAAAAGTTCAACCTTGTACGTGGAGTGTAGCACGGCAGTGTCCGCGTCATTAGCAAACGTACCAGGTTATGCTTCTTTTTCAAAACGAAATGAACAACGTTCGCTTCGCTTCGAACAACGATATTCATCGTTGAATATGAACCTATTTCATACAAAAAATTGGACAAATAATTGTTCAACCTTGATATACTCGTGTATACGTGAATGTGGGGGTTGGGGAGATCGACAACGCGGTCTTGAATCTGCATTCCTCTTAGCTCTAATAACAGATCGTCGTTTTATGATAGAGATGAATTTTCCGTGTGATATTAGAACAGCTTTACAACCGAACTAGTACGACTGGAGACTTGAGAAACGGTGGTTCGAAAACGACGTTCGGAAGAAAAGGAAGACGGTTTAATGGAGGGCGGTCGAAACTTTCATGTTATACCTAATCCAGAAAAGCTAGAGAGTCTACAGGGGCTACAACTGCATTACGTGTCTACATGTACACGCCAGTCTGCAGCTGTACTGGTAGTTATATACTACT